GTATTATAAAGCATAAAAAATTCATATAATAATTTTTAAAAAACATATCAGATCAAATTAAAAAAATTAAATTTAATAAATCAAATTGATAATTAAAATGAGCTTCTTGAAATTAAAAGTTTCATTTTCCTATTCTTTTATTATAGTATTTGCTCCTGCGCAAATGAATGCATATTTTCTTTTTTAAAAAAAAAAATGAGACTTAATCGGTAATCCACGTGATACGGACCTTGGTAGCGTATCAACAGGGGATAAGGTCCTCTTGGTCCCGCCTCCCGGGCATGCTCTGCGTTTCATGAGTCCATTGTTCCGTTTCAGGGAACGAAAGCGACCTCCACTGAAAAAACTTTTTTTTTTTTGAGGAAATTACAAATCCCAGGAAGATACTAATGGTACCTACTCAACAATTTTGAATTTGTTGCAGCAAAAAAGGGCATAATAGATTTTTTTTAAATAAATGCTGCTTTGAAGTTATAAGAAAACATACACGATAAAACACAAAAAATTCCTTTCCTAAAGAAGACCTCTATTTTGCAGCAGAAGGAGTATTCACAATATTATTCTTAAATAATATTTTTTAAATAGCAAGAAATATATTCACGAAAATAATTATTAATTATATAATAAGATACATAACAGAACAATCGGAGGGCTGATGGAGATATGTGGCTTATTGAGCTTTGAAATACATATGAGAATGAAAGAAAGGGAAGAAAAGAAGCGATGCCGGGAAAGAAAATGATTGATGACTCCCATGTCTTTGTTGCTAAGCGAAGAAAGCACACTCACGTCTCACACTGGCCCTCCCCCGGCGATAAGATTCGGTTTCGAATATCTCAATCAATAATTAAAGCTTCATGTCCGCTCTGTTTCCTGTCTTTTGCTCCCAGCTCTCTTCTATTTATCCCTACATTTCCAATTTCTTGGCCCCGGAAAAATAAATATTTACAAATCCTCCGACGACAGTCTTATCAATTTTACTCCCCATTCTTATATATAAAATATTTTTAATTAAATTTTATATATCAAGATTTATTATTTAATAAAATTCACATAAAAATATAATAATTTTTTAATTTTACTTATAATAATATCATAATTAATATCATGATGGTGGTAGAAAAAATATATAATTAATTATTTATTTTATTTTTAAGATAAAAATAAAATTATTTAATTATTTAAAAATATTATTATCACTCTTTATATTTAAAAATAAAATAAAAATACTAGAGGCGGGAGGAACAAGGCACGCCGTTATGAATTAGTCCAAAGTTTGTTAGGAATATCTCACGTTTTTTCGTGAGTGGTGATATCAAAAGGGGAGATATTGAGTAAAGTGGGCCCAAGAAACTAGAGGTCACTGTTTTATCAAAAAAAAAAAAGAAAATACGGTATTATACTATTATTATGACAAAAATCTGGGGACGAGGTAATGGAAGTCTCTGGAGAGCAGAGAGGACAAGGGAGTGAAATATGTGGTCCTCAGACGAGGAGACACGTAGTACGCCCAAACCAAACTACACGTGCTACTTTTTCTTTTTTATTTATATCTTCCCTTTTCAAAGTCACCCAATCATTCAGATTTCAGACTACGAAAGTCACCAACAAATAATGTCATCCCAATGAGGGTAATAGCGCTCCACGACTTATATTAACTGTTCTTAAAATTTTAAAAATATACTCCCTCCATTTTTACATATAAAAAAATATATCATATAATTTAAAAAATAATTAATTATAATAATTATATTTAAAAATAAAAAAATTAGACTAAAATATCATATACCAATCAACATAAATATATATTAATTATTTTTTATTAATATAAATTATGAGGAAAAATTTAAAAAATGTATAATAAATATTTATTAAAATATATAATTTTGTTTATATAAGAAAACACGTAAAAAGTGATAGTTTCTCTTATAAATTAAAATAAGATAGTATTATAGAAATACAATACTCCTTCCCTCCTCCTTGCTTATAAAACAACTTGATGATTTGGTATTTTAATACAATTCTATTCATTAATTATATTTGTTTTAATATTGAAAAAAATTACATTTAAGTTTCACAGATGATAATTTATTATCAAGAGATCCCATAAAATTTATAAAATACTCATTTATCTAGTTGTAAATGAACATGATTTAAGACTTATAAGCATTTTGTGAATTTTATAAGACCTCTTGATAATAAATTTTCTTTCATGGGACTTAGGTATAATTTTTTCTTTTAATATTACACTTTCATTCTTATTATATATTCTCTCTGTTTAATATTTTATAAGTGAGATTATATAATAAATAAAAGGTATTTTTTAATTTATATTTATGTTTTGAAAAGATAAATTATAAAATTGTTTGGATTTAAATGAAGTGTAAGTCAAAAATTATGTAAAGAAAAGAAAACCAAAACGACAGGCCTAATATTCCAATAAAAAAAGAACTCAGCCTCGTTCTCAGAGGAAGTTGTGTCACTCATGTACTCAATATGATTCTTAAGATTTGGAACGACTAGATATTGATGGGCATTGGATGGACATGGAATTATTGTTTGATATGCCACGAATCTCGCAAAGTTGTGTTGAGTACTCACAAATATTTCACATGCGGCTCTTTGGATTCTTCATGGGCAATGATCTCAAGTGCATGGGTATAAAAGTGGTTCTACTAACACAATGAAGGGACAAACAAGCACTGATGAAACACAGACCATCTACATTAAAATAATTTTAGATTTATTTTTCTCATTAACTTTACCTTGCATCCAGCAATTAAACTTAGGTTTTAAGTTCACAAGTTGTAATCATCACAACTTTATACGTTAGCTTTCATCTCAATTCATATTTTGACGCCTTTTTACATCAATTTTTTTTTTGAATTTTCACAAGCACGTGAATTGAGATAAGACAACTCGAGGATCCTAATCTTTAACACTCTGCTTTGTCACGCCTGTTTGTTTTTGGACACCATCTAATTGTGAAGAATAAAAATATATTTAATAAAATTTATTAATGTACACGATTTTGAGTATGTTATATAGTAGTGAATGATGTGCTCTAACGGGATAGCAAGAGTATAAAATTAAAATAGTAGAGATGATAATGTTATGATGGATGTGCGGGCATACACGTAAAGATAAAATTCAAAATGAGCACGTACGTCAAAAAGTGAGAGTAGCATCTATTAAGCAAAAAATGGTAGAAAATCGATTGAGATGGTTTGGGCATGTAAAAAGAAGATCACGAAAGGCATCAGTGAGAAGAGTGAAATATATAACTTTGAGCTCGATTAAGAGAGATAGAGGAAGGTCGAAGAGAACACTTTTAAAAGTTATTGAACGCGATCTTTAATTAATAATATTTTTAAAAACTTGATAAATGATAGAGCACAATAACATCTTACAATTCATATAATCGATTTTATTTAATAAAATAATAAAGACTTATTATTATTGTATTAATGTACATGATTTTGTCAAAATGTGTTATGAATTGAGAGGAAAGGAATACTTGTATTTTTTTAGAAGATTGTCTTAGGACTGTGAATAATAAAAAGATTCACCTCAAATTTCTAAACCGTACGTCCGGATTCTTTATTAAATGCGGGCAACCCTGGAGTGGAGCCCGTAGGCATAGAAAACTCAGCGCCTTTAAAAGCATATCTACTCAGAAAACTCTTCCACCTCCACGCACGGTCTAACCCAGTGCAGAGCATTTTGTCCTTCTTTTTTTTTTTTGGCAACTGGAGCATTTATTTCCTCTTTTTTTGGGCCAACGAGAGCATTTATTTCTAAAGTAGCTGTTCTTTTAACCTTTGAATTATGGTTGTCATGAAAATAAAACCAAAAAAAGAATATTCAGTGAAAGTTCGGCAGCGACAATAAAAGACTTTTGGATTTTTGTTAGTAAATTTTGCTTCTACTTCATTTATTATTGTTTTGAAAAGGATGTATTGAAATTTTAATTATTATTATTATAAAATTTTTATATAAAATATTTAATAAGAATATAATTAAAAATGTATATTTTTTTAAGAAATTAAAATTTCAACTAACAATTTTTTTAAAAATCATGATGTAATTAATAATGCTATATATTTTGGTCAATATTTAATTAATCAATTAGCATTCCTCCGGTTTAAATAGAAGACATTTTCGACTGGCTAATGTTGGTATAAGATGCAGAACAATTTACAAAAGTCAATAACATCAACATTTTCTTTTTGAAAACTCCCTTGCTAATTGTATTGTAAGGAGAGGTTAAATGAGAAAGAAAGAAAAAATAATTGAGATAAAATAATTTTAAGTAGAGGGTAATCATGAAAAGTAATGAAATTTTTTTATCATTTTAATGATACTAGACTTCACCGGAGAAGAGATTTAACAACGGTGACATTATCCCAACTACCAAGAGAACAGATTGCAGTCACAATTTTTATTTGTAGAAAAATTTTATTTATTGTGATGATTTGAGAGCATCGGTGTCTGCCCAGTGATGACTAAGTTCAAGGGTTGCGTATAATATCAGACAACGGACATCCAGACGAAAGCAATAACAAAACATGTTAAGTATCAAATATGCACCACGCTCCGAGTGACAAAAGCATTTCAATTCAAAGTACGTACTAGTGGGCGACTCATAAAATTTTTTTTATCTGAAACTGAATGGCATCGTGTCCTAATTAATTTCGAAGTAGACATCAAACCAAAGAAACAACAAATTGTTAAACACGATTAACTACAATGAGATCAAAGATTTAAGCACAGCAATTTTCTCTACGAAAGATTTAAGCCCCGCAAATCCAGTGAGCCAAATCAAGAATCAGGACGAAAAAATGAATCGACGATATTGCTCTTCCATCCTTCTAAACAAGCTCTTTTAATTTCTCCATGTAATTATGTCTTTTTCGCCCTAAATGAAAGGGGATAATCATCAACCCAAATGCACCCAAGAAGAAGAAAGAAATGAAAATCAAGCCAAGACAAGCGCAAGCTACGCGTTAAGATACATAATACATTGCCATAGCTTAAAGGAGGGTACAAGTCCAGGTCTGGCGACGCAAGACAACTGACTGACTACTCAGCTATCCGTCACCAGCACTCGAAAAGAAACCACAAAAGACACGTTCATTTTTATTACGTTACATTATTAGTAAATTACGCGAAAAAGCAGAGTCCCCCCTCAGACTGATGCTAGATCAAGCTCTCCATAATCCCCCAAACACTCACGCCTCACCAATAACATAGCAGCTCTTAAAACCTCAAGCTTCAATTTCAACGGGCAGCATTGGAAGTGGCCTCCTCGTGGCAGCACTTGTAGGTGATGAAAATCTCCATAGTTTTGGGACACTCTGGGCACCTGATTCTCTCCGGCATCTTCCCGGCGACGTTAGGAATCTCGAGGTGGGAGCAGCGGTGGGGGACATTGGCTGCCTTGTCATGGTACTCCTTGAACGACCATTCGAATCCCTTGCTAACTATGAACTCCTTCCACTTCTCGTACTCAGCCACCGTCTTCAAGATCGTGGTTCCGTGTCCGGTCAGAATCACCTCCGACCCTTTGCTCATGAGAGCCCACCCGGTCTCGTTCTTGTATGACAGCATCTTCTGCACTTCCTTGGTCACGTCGTCGTCCACCGTCTTGTGCACCTTGGTCACGAACAGGCTCTCTATACCGCTCCAGAAGCTGCTGAAGATGTTCTTGTTTTCCTTCTCCACGTGGAACAGCTCAATCAAGATCTTCTTCTCCTTCAGCAAGGCATCGTTGACCATGGCCGTGGCGTACTTAGCGAACTGTTGGACCCATTCCTTGTCGTGACCACCGTAGAAGAAGATGTATTTCTCCTCCTTTATCTGTCCCACTCAAATTCATCCGTGTTAGTGTGCGTGGAAGTGTTAAAAAATGAATTGAGATCTGATCTCCAGAGCTAGATTGTATACGTACCCATGTAGAAATGCTGGGGTGAATTTGGGACACAATGGGTGCGACCCACTGGCGACTCGTGTGAATTTCTTCTTCCTGGGTCTTGGTGAAGGGAAAGGCCTTGAAACCCCAGGCCTGGACCAAATGGAAGGCGTTGGGGTGCAGAATCTTGCCTTGATGGTTCATGGTCACCACCATGGGCTTCTTCTTGAACTGCCATTCTTCCTTGATGTACTTGAACCCGGCCACACTTCCAAAGTGCTCCACCACGAAGAATGGCATCTTGGTTTTTAGAAGCTCGAACTTCTTGCGCAGCTGCTCTGTCCATTCCTCCACGATCGGAACCCACACGATCTTGTACTGCTCCGTCTGATTCTTCGTCTTGATCGACTCGTGGATTTTCAACACCACGGATAGTTCTTCCTCCGTGATGTCCAGTGTCGAAACGAACAAGTACACGTTCTTCTTTTTCAACACATCGATACTCACCTGTTCCAAGCATTTGAATTTAACTCCAACTCTACATAATGTAATTCCAATTCATTAACAATACGAGCTAATTAATAGCTAGCCAGGCCCGGGCTAATTGAGTGCCTTAATTAGGAGGTTCTTTTCTGGTTTTCTTCCCTTTCACGGTCTACATATATGACACGTACTGGCAGGTAAACTTTCACATGTATAGCCCCAAATACTTACTAAAGTTCACTCATCTCTGTAATTTGCCGTGCTTTAATTATTGCAACTTGGCGCAATTACTTTATTTTAGTTTCGTGAAACGACGGGAGAGGGCCTCTGCCTTCTTTTTCTTTTTTATCTTTTTTTTTTATTGTTCGCTCTTTCAACCTTCGCCAATCATCAATTTTATAATTAAAAAATTATTTAATAAAATAACATAAAATGGAGATTATGAAAATGGAGAGATAAGGGAGGGTTAAAAAAAACAAAAATTAAAAGAAAAAGATCCCTCTCCCTTATCAGACTTGGCCACTTTGACACTGTCCAATTTCCTAATAATAATGTAAGAATGTAGTGAAGACTTAACTGAACAAAAAAAAAAAAAATCGCACAATTAATAACAAGATTATTCTTCGTTGGAATAAAGAGTAAAGAATTTCATCCACGCAACTTTAATCAAACACAGCAGAAAGAGAGAGGTCACTGACCGTTGTTTTAGAGGAACCGTCGTACAACGGCTTTGAAACATCTGACGAGAAAATGAGGAGCTTGAGCACCTCCATGGTCTCCGTCGGAGTTTGCATCGTCTTCCTGATCTTGTAATACATTTTCGTCACCTCTGTAGCAGAAGATAAAGAAATCATTCACAATTACCCCTCTCTCTCTTCTTCAATCAATTCAATGGCAGATATATAGCAACATCAATCCCAATCAAAATATTAATCACTAACCTATCTGTTGCCTGCACTGTGAGATCTGATTCCTCAGCTTGCTGAGAATGATGTTAATCTTCTGACCATAGTGGGACAGTTCTTGCCTGTGCTCTCTGTACTCAAACACACAATCATAAGCACATCAAGACATGCCTAGCGAATTGAGGAGGGGAACTTAAAGGAGGGGAGAAACTTACGACTCGGTTGTAAGGCAGTCTAGCTGAGTGACGATGGCGACAATGGTGATGATGGCCCAGTAGACATCGAGCGGGATATTTTCAGTGGCAGTGACCAAAGCGGGGACATCCTTGGTGTCGTACGAGGATAGTTGCTCGAGCTCGAAGATGAGCTCGATGACTAGCAAGGTGCTCTTGATTAGACTGTTGAGCTCAACGATGGCCTGGCGGTGCTTCTGGAGGGAGGCGGGCTTGGTGAGCACGGGAACTCGCTTCAGCATCGCCACCGATTTCGCCAGTAAATCGGTGGGCTGAAGCTGAGCAAGAAGCCAGAGCTCACCATATTCCATAGCAAAAGCAGCCAGAGTAAGCACAGCTTTTGCGTCCCACTCATAGTGTGAAAGCTTGTTCAGAATCGCCATCGTAGTCTTGTGAGCTACTTGCTCGCCAGGAGGCTTGCATTGCATCTTCCATTTTAACAAATAATAAAAAAGTTTAGTAAGGTCGTGTTGTCATTAGATTTTGTCTGTTCAAATTATAACACCTGACAACTTTTTAAATTCCTTAAACAAATTGAGCTGTCGCAGTATCAAAGGACTCACGGGGTTAAAATTTGTTTGTTTTTATATATAATTATATGTGGCCCAAAATTGTTGGTTTTAAAAGAAGTCTGGACTCAAAATCGAAGGAATCGGGTATGACCTCTGAAGAAATTTGCCTGAGAGTGCAGAGGGGTGAGGAGAAATTGGCTTGGGTGCTTTTGTCATCAATGTGCTCCAAGCTCACTTGGGAACCCTGTAAAAAGATAGATCAGTGACAGTAACCACAGACAAACACGGAAGTAGAAGGAGAAGAAAAGACAGAAGAAATGGAAGAGGAGGGTAGAGATTAGAGAATGAACCTGGACAACACTGTCAACAATGTGGGTAGAGCGAGTTAGGGTGTTGTCGACGAGGGAGAAAAGAGGGCCAACGTCGAGCTTAGTGTCGCTGTGGACATGGGTTGAGATGATCTCTTCCAAAATCTGATCGTCGGACATGGTGAGAGGGTTGTGCTCACCCTCACCAGCACCGGGAATCAGAGATTTCAGTGAGAACTTAGCACCGAGCGAAGCCATGATCAAAGGAAAGAGCCCAAGAGAGACTGATTTCGTAGATACGTTTGAGGAGTTTCTAGTGCTGAGTACCTAAATCCCCATTTCTGACCCTATTTATAGCACAATGAAAGCAGAGATTTTTGCTCTCGAGTGGTGCTAAATTCCATTTCTCTCCTTGAGATTATTTCATTGAACAGTGAAAATTTGGTTTGACGCATGAGTCCGGAGTCCGATTAGTGGGAAAATAAGATCGTGTGTGGGGATACGAGGCTTGCTGATATCTAGCTGGGCTTGGTACAACTACAACGTGACATGTGGATTGAAATTGCCCGTTCTGTCATGCGAGGTCCACCTATTTAGCTCACGTGATTCTTTAAGGCATAATTTTGCGTGGATTATCCTCCTTGTAAAATTATTAATTTCACCCATATTTAAAAAAATTCTTATGATTATAATGCATCTAGTATTTGTTATCCTTTTTAAAAAATTGATATTTGATATCTTCTAAATATACAAATTAAGGAAACTTCTAACGTATAGGTGATGGAAAAAACATGTAGAGGCCAAAAAAGCGAATTGAGAAAACGCTGGAAACCAAAAAACAAAACAAAACAAAACAAGAACAGCGCGACAACGGCAAAGGAAAGAGTTGGCATTTCTTTCACCCTGGCGAGTTTTATGACGGGATTCATCACTTTGGCATTCAAACAAACTTATATTGTCATGCCTTTGCTCGGGCTCACCAATCTTAGTGCCACTCCATTACACAGTAAAATTGTGTTACAAGGAAATCGGACTCACCTGGGTTTAAAATAGTCAATATTTTTTAAAATCCATGTTTGATTTAAAATATAACGAAGCACTTTAGGTCTTCTACTTTCCTATAGGTTGTAGTACTCTAGATGCTTTTCTTTCTTTCTTTCTCTTGATAGTTGGTGTCTGTAATATTTTGTTTATATCAATAAATGGATTTTTTGTGAAAAAAATATTACTCATAATTATTTTTTAATTATACGAATACTTCATTTATTATTTTTTTCAAAAAACATACCCATAGAAATCTTAACTGTAACTATTAAAGCACCTGTATTGGACATTTGACGAGGGTATAATTTAAAAAAAAAGATGTACAGTGTTTTGAAGGATTAAAGTTTCAACTAATTTTTTTAGAGTAGTGCAATAATTATCAATATCTTATATTGCAAACTGAATGGGAGTAATGTGAATTTTTCATGATATTTATATTTTTTAATGTCAATATAAACATAAGTTTTAATAAAAATTTTAACTCCTCAAATTTGAATAATGTATTGATTAAGTCTCTCAATTTTAATTTTTATTTATCCAGCTCCTTGCATTTTTTTAAGGTATCGCGTTCATCGTTTAAATTTTTAAATACCAATTGACCTTTGAATTAATATGATGCATGTAGTATATTGATGACTTGTAATTCATATATAAATAACTAAATGATAACGAGTTAACCATATAAGTTCAATTTTTATAAATTTAAGCCCTCACTGCTACTTTGCGTTTTGCTCTCTTATTTTTTAAAATTTTTGAGTTTGTTTTCTTGATTCTTTTTGCATAAATAATTGCAATTCTCTTTTGTTAATGTACATGGCTGCCAATTTAATATTTCGTTATATGTGTTGATAAATTTTAATCATATTTTAACATTTTCAAATAATACGGATTAGATCAACAATCGAGACAAATTTAATAATTAAATAGATAAAAATTGAATTTAAAAATTAAATTGATAATTAAAATAAATTCAAGAACCAACAAGTTTGATTATACTTGAATAAAAATGTAATGATAATGTGCATTTAATATTTATCTAAATTCTATAATTACATACAGGGATATAAAAGGATCTGGAGCAGGCCCAGGGTGTAAGGCTAATTAGACTGATTATGAATAATATACAATATTAATAACATATATAAATAGTTTGATAATAATAATTAAAATTTTAATAATATTATTTAAAAATAATAATATAACAGAAATATAATTTAAAAAAATTATAAAAGTTATTAAATATCATATACTTTGAATCAAGTGATAATTTTTTGAAAGGAAGTAAGATTTTATTTAAATAATTTGAAACACCCTAATTTTACAGTCTGAAAATAAATTGGCCGCGGTCAGTATTTAAAAATTTCTTCGTAGGCCCCAACAACGTGACTTGATCATTTTCTTGCTGATGCGTCTAATCACTTTATTTCGGTGATAATTATAAATTATAAGATTCAAAATATTAAAAAATATAAGATATTTTTAATCGAATCTCATCCCTTGATAAAATAGTTATTTATTTTTAAATTAATTTTATCTTTTCATTTTATATATACCCTTATTAAATATTATATAAAAAATATAAAATCATTATCAATGAGAATATTTAAATAATAATAATAATTATATCTAAAAAAATTAAAAATGTTTTATATTTTTTAATATTTAATTTTTTAAAAAATGTCTAATATTTTTAAATAGAGGGAGTAAGTCTTTTCACGAGAGAGAACCCCCTTTTATTTTCTCTCCTTTTTCCTTATTTAATTTTATTCAATAAATTTATTTTAACTACAAATTTGATGGATGGGGGGGGGATTGGAAAAACAGAGGGGAAAAGGGAGAACATAAAGGAAAGAACTCATATCCTTCTTTTTACATAATGATTAAAAAATTAAACTGAATCTGGTGATTGGACCATTGATCAGTAAGGGTGTTCAAAACCGATCCAAACCGAAAAGACCGATCCAAATCAATCCAAACCGAATGAAACCAATCAAAACCGAACAATAATCAAGTCTGCTTCGGTTTTTATGATATAGAAATCGATTGGTTCGGTTCAAGTTCAGTTTTGAGTACTAGAAACCGAGCCAAACCTGATTAAAAAATACTATTTATTTATTTATAAAATATATAACCATTTATCTACAAGAAGCATTTTGTTTTGACTTTTTTATAGTAATAAATAAACATTTTTAAAATACTTGAGTGAAAATGCATAATATTAATAATTATAATAATCATGCTATAATCATCATTTAATTATTTACAACCTAAAAGCATTTTGTTTTGAATTTTGTATAATAATTTTTTTATTATTTATTAAAATATAGATACATAGATAAACATTTTCAAAGGATTTGAATGGAAATGCATAATATTAAATAATTTTAATCTTAAAAACTTATATCAATTTTTATGATTAATTATTGTTATCACATTGAAATTTTATTATATTTTTATACCTCTATTTATAAAAAAAAGGAGTCAAAAAGAATTAAATTTAATTTTAGTACATAGTACCATTATGAAGATAAAAAAAGAAAAAAAATTACACAAATGCATTAAAACTTGATCCAGACCTTAACCAAACCGAAAATAAAACCGAATCAAACCAAACTTCTTAAAAACCGATTAGGTCTCAATTATCAATAAACTGAATGGTTCGGTTCGGTTTGATTTTTGTCCAAAACAAAACCAAATCGAACCTATGAACACCCCTATTGATCAGTTAGAGTAAGATTAAGCCAAAAAATTATTTGAAAGGTTGGGCCGGATTAGATTGCTTTGAACAAGTGATCAGACCAAAAATTGGATTCGATTTTTAAAAAACGAACTACTTAAAAAATACTCTTTTTCATTTTTTTATTTTTATAAATTAATTATTTAGATATATTATAAACAATGCATATTTAATATTAAAATTTTTTAATATTAAAGTTGGATCATATATATTATATTTGTATTGTCTAGTAGATAGATTTATTAAATTTTTTATATGTTATGTAATTTTTTATTTTAATGAATAAAAAAATAAAACAAAAAATGACCAAAGAACTATTGTGAAATTTCAGAATAAACAATTAAACAGATTAAAAATAAAAAATTTTAATAAACAAATTTATACCAATAGATTATGGGATCAAACTTTTCTTGTAACATGCAATATCTCTAACAGTGATTTGGTGGCCGAGGCCAGAGAAAATGGAAATAACTTTTGTTGTTTTTTTATATTTTATGGGTAATTTTAGATAAAAATTGAATTTAAAAATTAAATTAATAATTAAAATAAATTCAAGAACCTACAAGTTTGATTATTCTTGAATAAAAATGTAATGATAATGTGCATTTAATATTTATCTAAATTCTATAAATACATACAGGGATATAAAAGGATCTAATTAGCCCAGGGTGTAAGGCTAATTAGACTGATTATGAATAATATACAATATTAATAACATATATAAATAGTTTGATAATAATAATTAAAATTTTAATAATATTATTTAAAAATAATAATATAACAGAAATATAATTTAAAAAATTATAAAAGTTATTAAATATCATATACTTTGAATCAGGTGATAATTTTTGGAAAGGAAGTAAGATTTTATTTAAATAATTTGAAACACCCTAATTTTACAGTCTGAAAATAAATTGGCGCGGTCAGTATTTAAAAATTTCTTCGTAGGCCCCAACCACGTGACTTGATCGTCTTCTTGCTTATGCGTCTAATCACTTTATTTCGGTGATAATTATAAATTTTAAGATTCAAAATATTAAAAAATATAAGGTATTTTTAATCTATTCTCATCCCTTAATATAATAGTTATTTATTTTTAAACTAATTCTATCTTTTCATTTCATATATACCCTTCTTAAATATTATATGAAAAATATAAAATTATTATCAATAAAAATATTTTTAAAAATAATAATAATTATACTTAAAAAAATTAAAAAAATTTTATATTTTTTAATATTTAATTCTTTAAAAAATATTTAATATTTTTAAATAGAGGGAGTAAGTCTTTTCACGAGAGAGGATTCCCCTTTTTATTTTTCGTTATTTGATTTTATTCATGGGGGGATTGGAAAAAACCGAGGGGGAGGAGGGGAGAAAAAAAAGGAAGGAACTTATATCTTTCTCCTTTTTCGTTATTTGATTTTATTCATGGGGGGGTTGAAAAAAACCGGGGGGGGGGGGAATAAAGGAAGGAACTTATATCCTTCTTTTTACACAATGATTAAAAATAAACTGAATTTGATGATTGAATCATTGATCAGTCAGAGTAAAA